AAATTCCTGACTTTCAAGTTTTAATGCGGATTCCGACAGATCTCAACGAGCGCAGTTGGATGCCGCAAAAAAAAAAAAAAAAAAAAAAATTCCCGGCAATTTTTTGGGGCATCCGGTTTTGCCGGTTCACCCCCCCTGGACCGGTCCGGTGCCGGTTGGACCGGGGCAGGTGATCCGGCTGGTTGCCGGCCCAGCCTTGGTTCTGGCATTATTCCCGGTGGGGGACACAACTCTCTCTCTTTCTCTCTCAACGCGGCTGATTTTATGGATTTTCTCCTCATCCTCTGCTGTCACAGTACTCTTCCAGAACACAACCACGGCACAGGAATATGAATGCTCATCTGCATAATAGTGTATGCCAATGAGCGGTGTACATCTTGAAGCGAAATCCGCCACCTGGGATAGTTAGGTCTGTGACTGGCAGGTGAGGACACTGTAATTCAGAAACTCCTGGCCTCAGCTTAAAACCACCAGTTGTTCTGCGCCTCTAGCTTTTTTGCCCGACCCTAACAATCCAAACTGGTTAGCTGTGGATTTGCCTGGCACGGCCAACCTTCCCCCGACGGGCACCCCGAGCCTTTCTGGGGCTCCGTGTTAACTGACGTTTCGCTTTCGTTTTTTCCCCAAAAGCTTGGCTGACAACAGGTAGTTTAAGAGACATCAAAATCTGAAGGGGTCTCTTGCGCTGGGGTTGACCCAGGATGTATGTAAACTGAACCTGCTCCAAACTGAGGACCAAGACATAACTGGAAACAGCATCTCACCTTAGCCCATGCCTATCGAATTTGTGGCGGACACGGCTCAGTTTAGTGAATGGATGGTATGCCGAAATTGTTTCCTCAATGGGTACCGTGTCACAGGGTCCCAGAAACTCTGTGGAGGGCTATGTACTGGTTCTTCGCCTTTGGCTGGCACCAAAAGTCAGACCTTTTTGTCCAGAAGATGCCAGTTCTGACGAAAGGACTGGCCTGAGGCCAGTTGGAACTTGTTTGGGTGCCTATACAGCCTTTCCCAATTTGGGTGCGGACTTTCATGTCCTACTGTGAGATGCCTCTGGGCTCTGGCATGGTGCTGTCCGCTCAGCCTTGAGATTGTGTGGTGGCTTCCAAGCAAACTGTGATAGTTTCATCTGCCTGCGTTCTGTCTTGGGCCAAAGTAATGCACTGCCTGGGGTCTGCTCTTTCTTGAAAGGCTACTGATCTTTGATACTTCTTTGATACTCTTTTGATGCTATGAATGGCTATTGCTTGTGAATTTGTTTTTCAGGCTGTGCTCTCGGAGTTTCTTGACGGCAGACCACTGGATAAGCATCTGGATGCTGATGAGGCGATGGCGCTGGGGGCTGCACTACAGGCAGCAAATCTAAGTGATGGGTTCAAGTTGAATCGGAAGCTTGGAATGGTTGATGGAACCCCTTATGGGACAATTTTTACAGTTGAAGATCTGGATGGCAACCCAGAGTCAATGACACAGCAGACGTTGATTCACCGTTTGAAGAAACTTCCCTACAAAGTAGGTGTCTGTTCTTTTCTTCCTCCTCTTTTCTCTTTACTTTGCGGAAAGTAAGTTTGAATGGCGCATACTTTTGATACAAGGCTTACAACCCAACTCATGGTTTGGTCCTTGAGCCATCTGGTCTGTCTGGAGCCATAATCACTGTGGGAGATGTTTCGATATGTTGCCTGGATTTGGTCTCTCTCTTGGGTTACCCCTATCTTCTGCTCCCTGTATGCTTGTTTGCCCCTCTCTCATTGATTACATGCGTCAACTGTACGCTGGCCTTGCTTAGGGCATGACGGGACTGCTGTGTTGAGTAGCATAAAACACTTTCTTCTTCTTCTTCTTCTTCTTCTTCTTCTTGTACTACTACTGCTGCTGTCACTTCTTCTTCTTCTTCTTTTTCTTCTTGTACTTCTACTGCTACTGCCACTTCTTCTTCTTCTTCTTCTTCTTCTTCTTCTTCTTCTTGTTCTTCTTCTTTACGAGTACCACTACCCCCCCCAACCACAATCACCACTACTGCTACTTCTTCGACCCTTTCGTGGAGGACAGCATGTAGCACAGTGTCCATGTGTGAATCATCACATCTTAGAGAAAGTGATAGAACCTATGCCAAGCAATGGATATGATCTGCTGCACTTGTTTTTGACTCTATTGCTCCTTGCTCCATGAGGCGGTAATATGCTTGCCAGCTCAGTGGTAGACGGACGGTCTTGAGAAGGAACTCCTGGGGCAGTTTGGATATTGAAAATGAGGAGGACAATTATGTTGCGGTCCTCTGGTGACACAAACGGTCTTCCAATGCTCTGAAGCATATTTTTCGTACTCTCGATTGCTCAATTATTCTGGGTTGAGGCCTGAGGCCATGTCAAGCATTGCCAGACTTGAAGAGAGTCTCGGTATAATTTGGACATCACTCCATCTGATGTGCATGAAGGTGTTCAACCTCTCCGTGTCCTGGACTTTGGCGTCATATGCCTCCTCTTCCCCAAAGGCCCTGCTTTCGGAATCACAGCCTCTGTTTTCTATCGTACTATCCTTCCTTCTCTGTCGGTTCTTTGGAAAGATGTGGGCAAGTTGCCATCACTTCTTCTGGCTGCTGTGCTGCTTGGACTGCGATCCCCATGTGTCATTGAGCTCCTCGCTGTCGTCCAACGAGGTCGGGGTGTCTTTACTTGAATCCTGCAAATTCAGTGTGTATTGTTTATAGTACTTTATATAGCTGTATGTCCATTTGGTCCTCCCATAGCGGCGGTTGCCTCGTCAATTTCTGAGAGAGGGTGCTGAAAAGTGGAGGGTGGGTTGAGAGTTTCAAAACCAGATGTGATAGTCTAGTACTCCTTTGTGGGTCAACCGCAGAAGGTGGAGTCAAAGAGGTCAGTCTGTACATACTCTTCTCCGAGTTCTCTCTCAATTATGCTCTTGGTCTCTTTGCAAATGAGAACACACGAATCAAACCCTCTTCTTCGTTCTTGTCGTGCACCAGCTCCAATTTATTCATCAGAATTGGGCTAAGAATTTGATCCTTTTTTTTTGGGGGGGGGGAACAATACTTCGATCCTTTTCACTACAGCCTGAAGGGTACTGTTATAAGTTGTAAGCAAGTGCAAGGAGTCAAACTGATGCAAAACTACCCTCTTCACCCGAATAGAACGCCCAGTCATTATCGCTGTATCTAGACTGAAAGTTGCATCAAATACAGCTATAATGACCGGGCGTTCCATTTGGGTGAAGACAGTAGCAGGGCATTGCACTTGCCCGAAATTGGCGTTCTAAACTTCTTACTGGAGTCCTCCCTCCTTGCTTAAATCCCAGGAGACTGACTATGTTAGTGCCTGATATTTTTATGGGCTGAATGGGTTTATCTCACTGTGCCTGGCTGCTTGTTAAGTGGCTGATCTTACTTCTGTTGTGAACATTGCTTTGTTCGAAACTCGTGGGCTTTTCCAGGTTATCCGGTCATTGAAATCGCAGACAAAGGACTTCAAGCTGGTTGCCAAGTATGATCCATCTGAGGAGCTGCCACCTGGAATTCCGGATGAAAATATCTTGTCCTTCGAAGTGACGGGCCTAGCTGATGTGATGTCAAAGTATGTCTATGCCTTCTCAGCTCTATTTGGCATGTGATACCTGTGTGCCTGCTCCATTGTTTTGAGCTCTCCTTTCTCTTCTCATTCTCTATCATAGGCATGGAGTGTTGGAATCGTGCAGGATGCAATGAAATGGATGCTTATCTGCGCTTGTTGACATCAGCCAGGTAGTTGCACACGCTTGATTGGGAACTACTCCAAATGCTTTTTTCTGATCATGCATGGCTGAAAGCTAGGTGATACAAGTGCGGACTTATACGCACCTGCGGGTGCCAGAGAGCCAAATGCAAGGTATGTTTAACGGGAGAGAAACGGATTAAAACTCGTGACTGTAACGATCCGCTAATGGTGCGCCCTTATCTCGCCATCTCAAGCTGATGAGCAAGACGTCTCCCCCCTTTTGCTTGCCTTCAACATGCTGAGGAACTGACCGTCAGTAGTTTCGCAACATTTCTACCTACAGCCTAGTCGATGACTAGAACACACTGGCCCTACTAAGCTACCTGCCCGGGTGGGCTTTATCAACCCCATCTTTCATGACCACGCATACCACCGGTGCTCCATATGGTGAAGTGTTGGTTTTTATTGTCAGCTAACCCCATTAGTTTCTTGTGGGGAGAGATGGTAGACTCTTCCCTTGGGCGGCACTGCTCCCGGCACCAAGTGAATAGCATGTTTCCGCTCTTTCTCCGATATCCCTGTAGGCTCCTCCTACAGATCTTTGAATTGTCTGGTAAGCTGCTACACCTTCCGCAGTCCATCGCTCTGAAGGGTGTGGAAGTCTGCAGCAGTAGTAACCATGCTATGCAGATCCCTTGTTTGCGATGCTGTCGCATATATAGTCAAAGAGCGCGGGTGCGGCCATGCCTGACTAGCCCAGCTCATCTTTTGGCACTCCCCTTGCTCATCCTCTCATAGAATTGACCCGGCACACGCCTACCGTCAGGTGGCTATGCTGTCTTTGCAGCACAGGTTAACACCGAACTTTCAGCTATGAGACATCACTCACCCAGAACCATCTGAAAAGGCATGTTGTTGTAAAGAACATATAGTTCCCTCCTCAAGGGGATGTCACACACACTCGCTTAATCATGAGCACATCCCTGTTCACACACACATTGCTTAATCATCCTTGTTCACAAGTTTCGACTCCACAAGTGTGAGGAGATCCTGCACCTTCATCCCTAGTGTAAGCCTGCTAATTTTTTTTTCTTTTTTTCTGGTAGAGCGGAGAGGGTAAATTATGTGGAGCCACGCTCATGATTGTTTTCATGCCACTCCTGTCAAAAACGGTATTCACCAAGGTTACCTGTTCCTCATCACTGTACGATTCAAGCATTTCCACTACTGCTTTCATTGCTCACTTGACTGCGGCGTGCATGCACAACATAGTCCTCTCTGCGATGTGGTTTCTTTGGATAGTAAGACAATGCAGGCAAAAACACTGTGTCGATCGCCTCTCCTCTCCTCTTCATCAGAGTCAGCATCAAGGCTGCTGCTAAAGGCCATAACCGGAGGAGGAAGGTGGTCCTCGCCCTGGGTGCATGATCTCCGCGAGCTGAGGTTGGGCAGTCGGAGAACATGTTGGCTGGTACATTGTCCTTCCCAACCTGTGTGCATGTGACTGGAAACCGACTCTGCTGGCATCTAGAGTCTGCCGTGTGTGGGCTCTGCTCACCTTTTGAAGCTGTTTCATATTATACTGCCAATCTTCCGCGTTTTCAGACTGCTCCATGTAGTTGCTAGTACAGAGTGTCTGTGGGACCGTCCTCCGAGGAGACTTTGCTAAGCATGCCCCTAGCCACGTACACTGCCAAGCAAAGTATTGACGACCTTTTCATTCCAAGTTATATGGGGCTATTAAGGACCTTCAGACTTGTTGACAGGAGAGTTGTTCTTAGCTCTCGCTTTGGCACAGCAGTCGGTTTGGTGGTGAAGTACCTAGAGAGTGGGGTTTCAAACTCAAAGCCTTCATTTTTTTGAGTTATTTATTACCTCAAGGCGTACCTCTGCCACTGGGAACTTTTTCACTACTTAAGAAAAGTATATGTTGTTTTTCCACATTGAGTCCATGTCCATGAATACGTGTATTTCACATTATTTGCCAATATGATGGCTGGTCATAGCTTAAGATTTTCAGTGGTTTTGCTTGGACTATGTTGTCTGTGACAGGCATCATGTATTTAGCTTGAGATCCTTGCCCAACCGGCACACTGTTTTTCTCTCAGACCTAGGTTTGTTCGTCTTTAGTTGATCCTGTGAGACCTATTGGATATACAATGTATGCATCCTTGTATTTACGCAGGATATGCTGCCACTACTATTGTATTTTTCTTGCTTTTTGTTTTTGTTTTGTGTTTGTGGCTCCATGGATCACGGATCAGATATGAAGTTGATCAGAAAAGATGCATTCTGCACTTTATCTTTAGCCAAAAGGACGAGAAAGCTATATTGGTACTATTGTTTTGTGTTCGTGTGTCTCTACTCAACAAAAAAAACATCTGTGCAGGGTAGGTTGCCAGTATTATTTGTTTTTTGGTTATGTTTATCCGGAACTCAATGGTGGAAAATAAAACACAGACACAATGTGCGTCAAATCAATGAAATCGCTGAAAGATCAGTGTAGAGAAAGAAAGGTAGTGATCCCTCTTACGTTCTGTGCGGGAGAATATGTTGACGAGGGTGCAACGCTTCTTGCGTTCCCCAATATGCACAGGGCTCCATAAGCAAATCGAGGAGGACATAAGCCTATGCCTTGCTCCTTATGAAAGGGATTCGCCTGAATAGAATGCTCGGTTATTAATCATAAGATTCATAACCAAATTAATGAGGACGTTAGCCTATGTCTTGCTCTTTATGAAAGGTATGCTGTCTAGTTTTTTGCTCAGAGCGTCAAGCATATGGTGTTAGGTTCTGAAGGGTCTCCTCAATGTGTCATGAATAACCGTTGCGAGACAGAGTGCTGGCATTTCCGGCTCCGAGGTGCAGGACCACTGAGCTGTGTGTTTGTCAAGGTTTTGAAATTCTATCAAAGTTATCAGGAGAGAGGTTGCCTTTTGCGGCCTGATTGTGAACGGCGGATGTACTAGCAGAGTCCTAGATGTAGTCCAGCAGGCCTTGTCACTCACTGCCTTGGAATGCTCCATCTGATTGTGACCATCTGATGTAGTACCAGAGAGCTAGACATATGCCCAGCGGGCCTTCCCACTCACTGCCTTGGAGCGCTCCACGCAAGGTTAGGTGCAACTGACCTCTCTTGTATCGTTCATGTTTTCCTTCCAGGTATGGTGAAAATGCATCAAGTCCAATCAAGACTAATATCCACTTCACGTTAAGTCGGAGTGGAGTTTTATCATTGGATAAAGTGGAAGCTGTTGTGGAGGTTCAAGAATGGATTGAAGTGCCAGTGAAGAATGTGACCGAGAACGGTGCAACAGCAGCCAATGAGACGGAGGCCTCATCGAAGTCGACATATGCTGAGTCGGGAGAGGGTGGCCAAGCGAGCTCAGAAACAACAGAAGGTGGAAGTGAGGGAGAAGCTGGCACAACTGATGAAGGAAGCGCCCCTGTGGCCGCAGAGGCTCCGATTGTAGCAGACGGACAGCCAGCAGAGGAGAAGAAGGTGGAGATGAAGAGGAAATTGAGAAAGCGGATATTCAGAATTCCTCTCAAGGTTAGAGAAACATTCTCTTTTTCTTTTTGCTAATTCACTAACCATATGAAAGTTACTAAGCTCCGACCCGGTAATCAACATGATGCTGCCTGTTCGTGCCAGTGCATTCTGATGGTATCATGGACATCCAGGCTCCGGACATGGGGTCGGAATCCGGACAACCAGACATGCAGACGCGGACGGTCCGGTTGGGGGTGGGCATGTCCGGATGTACGGATTAAAAAAAATAAAAAAAAAACACAGCACACACACACACACACACGCAGTGTCAGATTAGTTTCTCAGACTTACTGCCGTTCTTGTCAGGGGTTTGGAACGGCAGTCTGCTAGGATTGCAAGGTTGGTGTGAGTAAACCTCAGTAAAGTCGACCACTTTTCTCGGGGGTATCGCTAACTCTGGGTGACGTATTGAGTCCTTATCCATCAGTTCAATGTATCCTGGGCAGACTGTCCGGGTTCAACCTCCTGATGAGTTGGGGAAAATCCGGCAAAACAGTCTGGCACAGTCGTGCTTTTTTTGAGTGTATAGCAGTGCTGCACAACCCGACAGTCGGTGGCCCTTGACCGGTCGACACCTACTGGTTGGGGGTTGTTGCAAAAAAAAGAAAAAAAAGAAAAAAGAAAAAAAAAAGGGGTCCAGAACCCCCCCTTGACTGGTCAGCATCTACCGGTTGGGGGTCGTCGGTACCCTGCAAAAAAAAAAAAAAGGGGTCCAGAACCCCTAATAAGACCACCAACAACCCCAGAGCGGCCCCCAATACCCCCATACACCCCCCCAACACGCTCATTACCMCCCCCAATACCCCCTATACCCCCCCTATACCCCCCTATACCCAGCTTTGCCCCCTCTATACTCCCCCCCCCCCCCCCAACAATCCCCGAAAGTTTCTCAGCGGATTTGGGCTGTACTCCGCAAGCGCAGTACAGCCCCCAACTCAGATTGAAAAACAATCAGTGGATGGTTGTTTTCTGACTGGTCAGCAGACCGCTGACCGGTCGGCCCTACTGGTTGGTTGCAATACGGTTGGCGGTCGGGGTCGACGGTGGGCAGGTATGCGACCCTGGTGTATAGCGAATATGACACACACACTCTGCTCTAGCTGCAGAAGCTGCTGCAGCAGCATCTGCAGCTACAGCTGTGTGTGTGTGTGTGTGCGTGTGTGTTGGGGGTGTGTGTGTGTGTTTGTGTGTGTGTGTGTGTGTGTGTCTGTGTGTGTGTGTGTGCGCGCGCGTTACCTTCTTCTTTTTTCTTTGTTTGTTAAACTTGTTTGTGTTTTTTGAACGTATTTTTTTGGTTTCTTTTCAGAACGGGACTGCTGCAGCTGTTGCAGGTGCCGCAGAGGATTAAAAAACGGACTCCTCCCGCTGCCGGGCAGTGGATACCTTGAGCCTCCGCCGTTGTACTGGCCGCTGGACTTCGGCAAGTGCAGCCCCTTTAGGGCCGGTCTGGTTGGGCTGACCGTCCAAAAAAACCTATGGCAATAATTTTTGGGGGTTCCCCAGGCATGGGAAAATCGCCTGGGAACCCTATTTTCTTTTTTGAAATTTCTTCAAAATGGGGTCCAACCGGACCCTCCAAACCGCACACCGGACCCGGACATCCATACTCGGACTGTCTGGATCGGGATGCGGATGTCTGGTTAACAACCATGGTACCAATCTGTGCCGGTTTGTTTTCCATTCACGCGGTTATGTTGGACAGGCAGGATTTCAGGTCTGAATCGCTCGGATGGACTGATGAGCCCCTTACATTGGGGCCATTTCTCGATTTATGCGGGACCTTGGGCACGACAACGCTGATGTTGTTCTGTGTGCTTTGCTGAAGTTGTGTGTGTCATCCTTGTGCAGGGACCATGGTAATTTTCTCTGTACCGTGCCAGTTTGCACGGATGTCCTGAAGGACGTCCATTAAAATTGGAAGGATACGTGAAACCCGATTGCCAGCAGACTACCGTCTTCACCCGAATAGAACGCCCGGTCATTGTAGCTGTATTTGCCACAACTTTCGGTCCAGATGCAGCGATAATGACCAGGCGTTCTATTCGGGTGAAGACGGTAGGTTTTTGAGAATTCTGATCAGCACTGATCCAGTAAAATTTATTGGTTTTGTTTACGGTGTGCTGCAGATTGTTGATGTAGCAGCAGGTTACGCCAGGCCAATGTCAGAGCGAGAGGTTTCTGATGCCTTGAGGCGAATGGAGGTGTTGCAGCTCAAGGACGAGGAAAGGAAGCGCACAGCTGAGGCTAAGAACAGTTTGGAGTCATATATTTATGACACAAAGGATAAGGTAATAATGCTGCCGAGGATTCTGCGAATGTTTTTTTTTTTGTTTTTGTTTTTTTTGTCTGGGGAGAAGAATTCTCTTCGTGGTTAAATGAACTTTAATGTTGTGGATCATTCCGTTTTGCAGTGTCATGAAATGATGGCTGAATATGCGATCTCTTCGGAGATTTTAATGATTTGTAGAGCCTTCACACACCGATGCCACTGCCTTGTTGTTTTTGAAATCAGTCTTGCAAATCCACACTCAAACATGCACGCAACAGATGAGAATAGCCTGGCGCTGTGCACCCAACTCAAACTCGGAGATATGGTAGCTTGCAACTCAACTCAAATCCAAATTTACTTCAGTTGACTATGGCGCTGGGCGCCCACACTTACACGTTCGACTCAGAGTTCACACGCAACTCGACTCCGGATCACCCTGGATACCATGCACGCCAACCACTGCACACACACATACACACTCACTAACTGTCTATGGCTATGGCGCATGGCCACTAACAGCTAACTAGCCTATCACTAACTTCTGCCCACTTCATCTTCAGGCCATCTGCAGACCTCCCTTGCACAAGACGCCCGAACAGCGCTTCCGCAGAGCTTCCGCAGGAATGAATGAATGGCTGGACGCAGCCTCTTGTTTTATACTTCTGTGCAGCTCCGATTTGGCCTGTATTCCCTGGCCCCGGTACCCTTAGCCCCATATGGTACTTGCTGGACCGGAGAGGGACTTTCTAGACACTTCCTCGACTGCACTACGACTCACCTACGACTCACTGCAGTCCTACTGAGGTCCTACCAGTTGACTTCGACAGATGTCACAGTCCTACGGCGCAAGTAGACTTAGCTACACCACTTGCCCACTGGTCGACCTTCTAGAAGACCTCTGGACCCTACTTCGATTTTTGCCCTATAGGTCTGTGGTTCGAATCCCTTACTTCTCTGGTGCCTACGATGACCTACCTGCAAGTGGCTATCCTACAGGTCACAGGTTCAAGTCCTACAACTACACAGATATTGTACACAGGTAAGTTGGGGAACTAGGGATCGAGCCCTGGTACCTACATCAGCTACTTCGAATTGGGAAATACCGTTTCATTTTTGTAATTTGCCATTTTGTCAAAGGTAAGAGGAAAACATATATAAACTGAGAGTATCAGAGGATGGGCTGATGCTGAACATGCCTTCTTCCATGTTTATGAGCTCTCAAAGCTTTGATGTTCAGTCCTTAAGATTTTTTACAGTTAGTGACTTTTCAAGTTTTGCGGTATACAGTGAGTTTGTGCCTATTGACTATGTTTTATCACCGAGATGTCAGTTCAGTTTTTTTGGAATCGGGATTATCCTGCATCATCAACACACAGATACTCTGTTTATATAATCTGTGTAGCTTCTTCTTTTCGTCTTTTTAAAAATAGTTAGTAATATTATAATAATGAGGGAATTTAATAATTTATGCGTGTCATCCTTGCGCAGGGGCCATGCTAATCTTGTCTGTATTGTTCCAATTTTTACGGATGTCCCGCTTCAACAATTAAAATAAATAATCATAAATACAAAATGAGGGGGACCCCCTCTTCTATTGATCGGAAGCTGGACTTGTGATCTGTTTATCGACAGCTACAGCTGTGCGCCGCCATCCAACTACAGTGCTGGATTGTATTTCTGCTCCTTATTGTCCTGTTTTTTCTTCTGTTTTTTGGGTTGGTTTTGGATTTTTGTAAAGTTCTACTGAGAAAAAACAGATGAATAAGAGTTCTTTCTTGTTTTTTTTTTTTTTTTTTCGGTTGTTGTTGGTCCTGCAGCTGGACTCCTTGGAAGGGATGACAACAGTCACCACAGAGGAGCAACGAGAACAATTCCGAGCAGAGCTATCTGAGGTAACTCCTCCTTTTTGCCGTCTGTTTCTCGATTTGTGCGTGTCATCTTGCACAGGGGCCATGCCATTTGAGTATCTGTTTCCCCTTTGCAATCAGACTCGTCTTCTTTCTTGCTTAGCATGCAATCACACTGGCGACAAGCGCCCACACCAAACTCAGAGAAATCGCAGCCAAGAACACAGTTCAGATTCAACTTGCTTCGAAATGGCTATGGCGCCTGTGCGCCCTCACAACACCCTTCCACGTTGTATCCTCAGCAACAGTTCACACGCACGCTACTCTGGATCTCCCTGGATGTCCCACACACGCTCACAGCTCACTGCACACTCATACCCAAACACACTGTAGACTATCTCTAACCTAGCGCAGCTATGGCTGCTTGCTACCTCTACCACTACTAGCGGCTATGGCCGCTTTGTTGCCCTCGCAGCCCTCTTCTCCCTTGGGCACCTGCAGATCTCCTTGCACAAGTCGCTCTGGCACCGCTTCCGCACGGCTCGCAGTCTGAATGAATGGATAACTGGACGCTGCCTCTAGACTTATACTTTGTTGGTCGCTGGTCTCCTCCTTTCCACCGGGCCCCGGGTGCACACAGTCCCACATGGTACTTGCTGACTGGACACAGTGCGACTGGGACTGGACACCGCTGACTAGACGAGGTTGGACTGCCCACTTGCCCACTTGCCTCTGGCCTGACTCTGGCAACTCTCGAAAGGCCACTTCCGGACCTTCCGGAAGTCTGTAGACTTGGCCTTTCGGGACTGTAGCAGCTACGACTTCTACACAGCTATGACCTCTACTTGACAGACCTACGGTTCAAAACCCGACAACTACACAAACCTATGACAGACAACCACCAACTACCAAGACACAGGTCACGGGTTCAAACACCCAGGATCGACTTGGTACTGTACACGGGTGAGGACAAGGTCTAGGGATCGAGCCCTGAGATCTGCATCTGCTACTGCAAAGGTGAAAACCGTTTCACATTTATCATTCCAACTTTAATGGATGACTCAAATGATTGCACTTCCATGTCATTTACCACATGAAAAAAGAAAAGAGTATAAATAGACCATCATGAAGAAAGGAAAGAGTATAAATCGTACTTGCGGCGCGGAGGTGAAGTGCGCTGCGCAGTACGGTGCGCGGTGTGCTAATCCCAGGTGCGCGTGCAAAAAAAGAAGAATAAGAAGAAGAAGAAGAAGAAGAAGAAGAAGAAGAAGAAGAAGCAACCGTGATGTGTGTATACACGCTGGAGAGAGAGAGAGAGAGAGAGAGAGAGAGAGAGAGAGAGAGAGAGAGAG